GGAAACAAGACTTCGGCTTTATTGTTCCTTGCATGCAATAAACTCATCTGTTTTACTTCATCTCGGGATCAAGAACCTTATTCCTTCTGTTACAACACTGTCATTGGCCTAACAATAGCATCACTAACCAGTTGCCTCCATGCCCGGCTGTTCAGTTTGGAGGGATAGCTTGATGTAGACAGTGTCTGGGTGCTTTACACATTAATGGTTGACTTCATGCTCAAAGAGATATTAAGATTCTTTGAAATGTTTTACACTTTTCTCCTGACCCATGCCTTTATAGAACTTTATCCCTGAGTCTCCTTGGTTTTCATGGCTGAATCTTTATTTGAAATTCAGTATGTGACTGAGGGACCTTGCCGAGGGTGTATTTGTTCTAAATTTATTCTGAAATCACCATTATTATTGTACAAAGAGGTCACTCACCTAATTGTGTGACTCAGTAGATAATTTGTTCACCTAAATTGAGTTTTGCCATAGGAAGGGGCTTGAATACTTATGTAATCATGATGTTTTCAATTTTCTTTCATATTAATAATCATTTTCTTCCTATATGCTTTTTTGCCTTAAATATGTGGAGTACTTGGTGTATATAACAAATATAAATTACTTAATTTTCTTACATCAAAGTGTCATGACTGCAAGCCTTAAATCAACAAAATTTGGAAACTGTACAAGGGTCTGAAAATGGTACTTTTGAGAGTCACTGTACATTCAGTGTAGAAGCTACAACCAGGGTGAGTTTCTCCCCACAGCTGTCTCACTCACAGCTGAACCAGACTTGGTTTTGACCTTGCACATGTCTTAGGAAAGCCAAGTTTAGAGCAATGCTTGCAAAGAATATTTTCCTTTTTCTTGTGCCACATCTGTGGCACAGAATAACAGCTGTAACCTGGAATCAAATTCCCTTATCCTATCCCTATCCCAGCCGGGCAGCGGAGGCAGCAACTGGAGAATCAGACGGGGAGGAGAAGACGGCCAGCACGGCAACACCAGGGGAGCGACAACGGCAGGTCATCTGCCACCGCTGTGGGGAGAGGGTCCACTTCGCTTAGGAGTGCCAGGCGCCAAAGCCCTGGGGCCTCCGGTGGCCATAGGGAAATGGGAGCAGGTTGCTCTAAAGGGAGGAAGGCCACCCTTGAACGATGCTACCCCCGCTCCGGAGATCCAGGAGGAGCGCTTCACCCCGTCTGCCCCCGTAGGAGGGGTTGGCCACAACCGGGGTTTATTTATTCCTTGCCTTATCGAGGGCAGACCCTGCCAGGCCCTGGTTGACACCGGCTCGAACATCACCCTGCTGTGGCCTGGTGTCCTGCTGGAACACGAGGTAGCTGGACCCCAGGATGGGGAAAAAAACAGCCTGCGTCTGAGGGTGGCGACAGGACAGTGCGCGGAGGTCCTCGGCAAGCAGGCACTCACCGTGCAGTTTGGGGCTGCGAGGGTGAAACACCCCTTCTACCTTGCCCCAATCTACGAGGACTGTATCCTGGGGTTGGACTGGTTGCAGCAGGTGGGTGGTTGGGCCTTGACTTGGGCCGGCGGCAGTTGGTGGGGCAGGGGGAACTGATCTGTCTTGCAGCGGACAGGGAGGGAGGTATCCTGGGCACATGGGCTGACCGGACCGGGAAGCGGAGGCAGCAGCGGCGGACGTCGCCGGGGCCTCTCGGAGCTTCGGGTCTCGGGGCGAGTGTACCAGGGCTGACTCCCAGGGTGCCCGGCTGGGCAGTTGATGGGGCGGCCGCTGGGGGAAATTTGGGGTCCAAGCACAACAGGGAGGTAGGGCGTGCTGTGGGGGAGCTGCTATGATGTAGCAGCGAGGGCCTCACCTGGGACCAGCAACGGCGGCTGCAGTCTCTCCCTGCAAGAACGAAGATCTGTTCGTGGTGAGGGATGAGGACTGCACCCACACGGTTCTCACACAGCACGAGATCGAAACCGCGGATGTGCGGCCCATTCATGTTCCGCACCAGCGGATGGCCTACATCAAGTGGCACTGCGGCCGAAGAGTGCCCAGCTGGAGTACGCAGTGAAGGGCAGGACGGGAGTAGTAGTGGTCATAGTGGGGACAAGGAAGGCCACTGACCAGTGCAGCTGACCCATTGTAAAATAGTCGTACAGAATGGCGAGATTGCCCGGATTCGTTTAAATAGTTCCCTGGTTTCGCACCCCTGTTATACTTGTACCCAAATTGCCAACCTATCCCTGTGTAACTACCCAAATAGACCCTAGTGTGTTGCGCTCTCTCTCTTGTTCTCTGGCTCTCTCTCATAGATCTATTTTTGTCAAGCAATTTCCTAAATATACAACTCTGTCAACAGCTGGTCACAAATACTGGATACTCTGACACATTTGACTCTTCATAGCCAGAAAAAAGGCAAAAAAATTAAGATGGTTAAAATTGAGTCATCAAGCTCATAAACTAACATTTGCCTCCTTGGTAGGATCTTAACCATGTTTTGACATAGTGTCAGGAGGATTGAGAAAGTGGTTTCATACAACTGCCTGAGACTATTTCAGACCTATAGCAACAGAATCAAGTACACAATGTGCAAATGCTTGAAGGTGAAAATGAAGGGAAAGGTTCTCTTTAAAATGTGTTAACGTAACTTTATTTCTAGCAAAGAACTTCAGCTTTTAAGTATATTTTTCATAAGCATCTGAAACTTGATTTGTTTTACTGTAGCTATTTTTTTCATTTTCATAATGGATGCAAAAATTAAATTAAAAGATAACTAGCCAAACTCTCTTCATTAAACTACAAATTTGGTTCTGAATACTGTCAAAATGCTAACACAGATCAGACAATAGCAGCATAAAATCTCCTTTATTTCTCCTGATAATTGTATCCTCATGACTCTTGCCAATTTTGTTCTCCAAATCAAGGTTCACTTACTAGCATCAATATGGAGAGGAGTGAGGTCAATGGAGATATCATGCTCTGCACTGCTGAACTTGCAATCACTGGTCTCCAGATAATCTCTGTGACACGCATATTCTGTCACCCATTCAACCTCATACCGGCAGTTTTCTTTTGCAGTCAACCTAGGATCACTGCCCTAAAGAACAAAATAGAGAGGACATAAAACAGATGTTTGCATATGCACAGCAGAATTAAATAGTTTAAACACTTCAAAAGATGGTTTTGAAAATAAAGATTTTTATTTTGATTTGTTCAATTTACATATTTTTTTAATAAAGAAAGGGTACAGGGCTTTATACAGGCCATCACTTGAGGATTGTACTGATGGAACAGGCATATGTAAGTAGAAGTACAACATCTGAACTCAAACTAACGTGGAGATAGATAAGTAAATATTTTTGCCTATGGTATGCATTTAGAAAGAAAAATCGATTGTATCTATTTAAACAATCTTTTACATGTTTAGCACACAGACTTGCTACTGATGCATATCATCAAGTTTTAACATAGACAAAATCTACCTCCTGTCTTCCTGATGGACAAACAAATGTAATGGTAACAGCAGGAGTGTGATCCCCACAAAATTCTGGCTTGCCTTCAGTAACACCAATATAGCGCAGCATCAGCCTGATTAAAGGAAAAAAGAAAACTCGATATAAAATTAAAACAAGATTTCAAAAAAGATAATGAGGATAAGTAACATTTCTCAACAGTTTAAGGTACACAAAAAAGTCACATAAAAGACTTTGAGTCTTTGTTCTTCCTAAACTCTAGACTCCTCTGTGTCCACAAGTCAAGAATACTTTCTCAGAAATTCTAGAAACGTTGTTCCAAAGCACCTAAACTATGAAATGTGCTCCTTATGGGTATTAGAAACTTTCAATCCATTTGGTGTTTTTAAATTAGACCTTAAAAATAATCATCCCCTTGCTCTTTTTTTAACTTTCATTCCTATATTCCTCCTAAACCACTCTAGATGTTTCATCCATGAGATCTCTCATTTTGTAAGTATTGTTTTTTATCACTAAAATATACAACTTTGAAAGACTTTTCTGATGTGAAATGGATTTAGAACAGCATCTCCTGCAGGAGCTTTAATGCAGAGATGTGCATATTTTTATTTATACACACCAACTGAAACAGCTTAGTTTCAGTTCAGAAAGCAAAAGACACAAATGCAGAATGGTCAGTCCACTCATTTATCTTATGTATACAAATAATATTTTCTTGAAAATGTACTGACATGACCTTAAAAAAGACGCAGAAGAGTAAAACATTGGCAACCATCTGTAAAACAAAATTAATACTAGCACAACTATTACAGATTTCAAGTTGAGACATTAATAACTAAACAAATTGATTGTCATAAAATGCATGTGCAGTGTAGTTGAAGCAAACATTTTAAATCTTTCAGCACTGCAGCTGATCACTCATACTAAGGTAAAAATACCTGAACAACATGAGAAGAATATGCCTTCAATAATCAAGACTGACAGAAATAGGGTTTCAACCAGGCAGATCAGACCTGATGGAAAAAAACTGTACTAGGTGCATTGACATTTTAAGTAAAGTCATTGCCATGCGGCAAACAATGCATATAATTATTTACAAAGCTGTGATTCAAGAAAAAGGAAGTAAAATAAATAATTAAGGAACAGACCAAGAAGAAAAAAAGAGAAAACAAAAACATAAATATGGGAGAACAGTACCTGTCTTTATCCAAAAGCTCTAAACTCTCAGTAGGATGACCCATATCCAAGTATTCCCCTTTGCTTGTTATCAAACAAGCAGAGGATCCTTCAGGACAGTAGTTTCCTGAATAGGCTAATAGAAATAATAAATTATCATCCCTGAAACCATGGTATTTACTTTTTATTTTTGGTATAAAGAAAAGGTCAAATTTATAAAACAAAATATGGGAGAACAGCCAACATAGGGAAACCTAAGGGAGTCATGTTATCCTTTGATACCATCAGGCATGACGGAAGAGAAACTGCGTCACAATTTACTTTCTGAAACAGGTAGCTTAAAAAAAATTATAGTGAACTAGATGTCTAGCTTCTCAAAACAAGAACTCTCCGATTTCCTCTCTTTGGAGGAATAAAGGTTCCAGTTGTGAACCACTATATCATGCACACCTCCAAGTTCCCATCTGCATTTTTTAACAAAATTAAGCAGAGAAACCACTCCCCTAAAAAGGCTAGCCCAAGGAAAATTAGATTTTGAATGCTTCTGAGAACCCAGAGTGATATATACATGTTAATAATATACAGTACAGAAAACTATGAGTCCTGTTACACAAAGTGATCACCATAAGAGTTTTTATATAACAATTGTACAGCTATTATGAATTGTACTTAACAATAAGGATTTCTAAAAAAAAATAAAAGGAAGGGATTTCTAAAATCTGCACTTATTGAAAATATGGTACTGGGTAAGATTAACATAAAAATTCAAAAAAGAAGCCCATAATACCAAAACCAGAAAACTTTTAACTTGGTCAGGCAAAAACCAAAAATAGCAGCAGGGGGATATTTTAATACAAATGAACTGAAAAAAACAATGTAACTAAAATGATTAAGGAAACCCCCTCTTTCTTCCAAAAATTTTGAAAACTATTTTCCCAGAAAACTGTTTTTACCTTAGGCAAAAATACTAATTCCAATCCATGTTTTAGGTTTAAAAAATTTAGGTGCTGGGGGTTGGAGGCATTCTTGACTGCAGCTTAAAAATGTCTATAAAAAATGCCTGCACACACGTTTAAACCTAAATCCCATGGAATTCTCAATGACTGTTTGTGAACAGACCACCTTGTAGAATGGCAACCGTTTCTATAAAAATTTTAAAAAAAACTTTCCAAGAAAAACTCTTCCCTGACCCTGGGGAACATGATGATGTCAAAACAAATAGGGTAGAAGGCTGCGTTGAGGCAATAATATGCAGAAACACAGCATATTAAAGATATACCAACAATTAGTTCATTTAACAATTATCATTTTCAAATTTATAGGAAATATAATTTTATACCATGAGTTATTATTTTGTTCTCTCCTAACATATATGACAAAGTATTTGCTAATTTTACATTGGAAAATGAAGTCCACTTTCAAAGCAAACTTACTAATGCTTCGGCATATATTGATGTATAAATCAACATCGGTATCTGAGTCATCCACCAAGTATCCATCTGTGATCTTGATCAGTGGGTTCAAGTCATGCTTTTTTCCATCCGCATCAAACACGTAACAGGGCACCTTTCAAATACACACCAGGGTGATTAATAGTGATGACTGGAATTAACTAGACAATGATAAAGGAAAATGCATTCACACAAATTAATGTGTAATCTCAAAATGCATCATTACAGCAACGAACAGACTATTAACTAAAAAAAACCTACAGAATCATTGTGAAAAAGCTGCTGTGTTAATTTCTTGTTGAACATGTAAAAAGCTAACCTTCACTACCATGTTAGTCATTTTATAGATGAATGAAAGCACCATAATGACAGAAATAAGACATTCAAAATAATACTGACATTGCCAGTTCAACTCATTGCAGCTTTGTACTTGTATGCACATCTCATCACAAAGAAAAACAACTGAACATCAGAGAAAATTTCTAAAGGCAAATTTCAGATATTTAAATAAGTACTGTAAATATAAGTAAATACTGTAATAAATACAATGATTTGGCAACGATCTTTACCAAGATGGGTTGAATGGAAGTAAAGGTGGTCAGAAAGAAAAACCTTACCTATAACAGTAACTTAACTTTGTAACTTACCTATACTTGTTCTACTTATAACTCATTTTTTAAATTTTGGTTATAATTATTTTGGTTTGGTTATTTTATATTAATGGCTGTTCTTTTTAAAAAATATTGAATATTTAGTCCTTGTTCCTATAATCAGATCTAGTATGTCAATACAAAATGGACTTTGCAGACTAACAGACTTCATTACTGGCTTAGTTTGTAAGTCAAAAAGGCTTCATTCACAATTTTCTGCTATACTCAATTGTGAAATGATAACTTGAGTACCTTTTTGTCTTATAAGAACACTACCTAGACAGTCAAATTTTCCACAACGTGTTGATTAGTTTCACTTACTGCAGCCCCCTTAGACAATAAAACCACTTCCCAAGCCACCACACAATCTGACAAATTCTACCTGAAAAATAAACTAAGGACTAATACAGAGAATGAGCGATGATCTCATTCCCACTTAAAATGAATGAAGGTATCAATACCATCAACATGTTTCAGCAACATGGCTGGGCAGCTTGTTTCATTCTTTCACAAACCTTTTTGAAAATAAGTGTATCCTGTCATCAGTTTTAAATGCACTTCCACATAGGTTCAGCTTGCTCTCCTCTGACTCATGTTTCTCTGATGATTCCAACAAGTCGACACGTTTAACTTTATCAATGTCATTGAGGAGTCTGGATATATGAATCAGGTCCCTATAGATGTGTTTGTCTTGAGTGTTTCTAATACTTCTGCTTTTTTCTATGCCAATACTATTTAATAAAGAACTTTGTCTTTCCTTAGTCTCAACTATGGTATTGATTTCTTCCCTGTAGACACCTGAGTAAAATTTACATTTAATACAATTAAATTGTCTGGAAGATTCTCATTATTCAGATTCCCAGATTAATGTGCTTTTTGTAGCATTAACCTTTTCTATCACTCACTTTGCATAAAGTTTTTTTTTTTACCCATGCTTGCAATTCATTATATTAATTTCCTTGAGCAATCACACTGCCAAATACTAATGGCTTTGCTTTACATTTGTATTGTATAGAAGTTGTTAAATATAAGAAATTTAAATATGGTTCACTTAAGAAGTTCTATAAGTACTGATAGTATGTCAGTGTTGTAAATAGGAGAACTTTTGAGTCTTAAATACAGAAGAGAAAGAGGCGACCTGATTCAAGTATACAAAATCCCAAAAAGCAACTAAACTACACAGACTTCTAAGACATTAACAGTGATACTGTACATAAACCATAAGACATGATGGCAAAACTATTGGTAAATACATTACTAAGAACAGCAAACTTTTACAACAAAGCCTGTGGGAGCATGGAACAAGCTGCAAGGCTGAGTTGTTAAAGCTAATACCCTGGCTTCTTTCAATAACCATATGAATGAAATACAAAGATTACTTTGTCACAAAAAAACCTAATGCGCTAGATGGTCTAAATTGCCTCCTCTGTATTATAACCTTGTAACCTTTTCTATGTTCTTATGATATGAAGAAAGGGATGGAAAACTGGAATTTGTTTAAAAAGGTGCGCAATATTGTGAAATTAAGCAACCCACCAAATTAATGTTATACTTACCTCTTTGTGGGGCTTGAATTTGTCCTTCTTGCAAGCTACATAGGTCCTCCATTCAAAGTAATACACACATTCAGATACAGTTACAAATTCAGGTGTTCCCTAGATGAAGATAGACAGTGGATCAACAGGGAGTAATTCTGACATTGTTGCATCTTTCATCAGTCTTTTGAGAACGAGAGTTTTTTATAGATACAGTATTCTGGAATAAGTAATAATACAAGAACAACAAAGTCACACGCGAACCCTGTTAATATCTGGATTTTCTTATTTAAATAAGAGCTATTTTACAATATCCTAAAAATGTTGTGTAAAATCCATTCTACATTATAAGAATGATAACTGTTTTTTCAAAAACAAGGTTTTCTGAATTTAACCATCAGGTATTAATCTTATTGGCAAGTTCTATTACAACCCTTCAAAAGCAATCACTAATTAACTGCATTAGTATTTGTTGGATGTAATGGAAGAAGTAGAACATAATTCCATTAAAAAAAACTACAAAGCAGAAACAGTTTTATCCAGATGAGACCTAAAAAAGTTACACAAAAATCATGCTCAGGGTGTTGCAAATATCTGTTTTGTAACCACAAAGTCCTGCAACAGGAAATTTTCTAATGTTGTTTCTATTTTCTGCTGTGGAAACTTATCTCCCTATATTCAAGACCACTTACGTCCAAATCTAGTTTATCTCATTTTTAGGTCAAAATCTTTTCATTTTTAATGTCTTGAATTCACACATAGGATACCAAAACAACTATTAAATGAAAAGATGAAAGAACAAGTGATCAAGTAAGACTCTACAAAGATATATAGACGCATAAAGCCACACTGCCCAAAAACAAATAGTGACATGCTTTGCCTTATACCTATCTCCGTTTAAAACCAAATAACTTTAACCAAATACAGTACCTCAGAAAATTAAGTGTAAACATTTGTACAAACTTTAACAAGAAAGATCTGAGTCTCCAGACTGAACAAACAGGCCTGTCCTGCCCTATGTTCTGTAATATCTAAGTCCACATAAAAAGTGCTTTCAAGCTTGTCTGCTGTCATTATCGCCTAACGTGCAGTTAGAGTGGAAGAACTAGCATGACACCATTTTATTTATCAGCTAGGCTGAGGTACAAGAATTACAAGATTGCCATATCCTGACTAACTGTAAATTTATGCCTTCATGATTATGACTGAAGTAAGGAAATAAGGTTAAATAAATGTTTCCTGTTCTGTGCATAACTTTTTTGTCCAGTTCTGTGCATAACTTTTCTGTAAATAATTATTGTAATCTACAAAATCCGATTTGAATTAGTGTCAAAGTGCTTAGGTAAACTGAAAAAATAAACTTTTCTGTTGTAGAAATACTAAATAGCCAACAAATGCTGGTATGGTATATGCCATCATCAATGTTATATTACAACAACAAGGTATATAACAGAACATTGAGGTAACTTTACTGATAAATTTAGATATTTATTCTCAAATTAAGCACCCTTCATGGATGACCTTGGAGATTATGTTAATCACAATTCCGTCACATCACTCCAAATGCATCATATTTGTGTAGAGTTCTAAAATAGCTAGACAACTCTGCTCAGATATAATGCACTTCTTCACAACACTTATTTGAAGTTTATCAGAGTGGTCTCCACACAATCCTAATTTTAAAGTAGGATTTTGTGCAATTAAACCAAAAGGTTTGACTCTGCTGTTGATATGTGCTGACTTACGTTTAGCTCTCAACATATCAATGGCATGGAAGTTCAGACCTCTTCATGAGTGGGGCATATTAGTTCCTTTATATGTTTTTATTTAAATTTTCACATTGCCTTGACCTTCTCTAGGTGAAATAACCTCATGACCTATGCTATATAAACTCGTACACTTAGGTGACTTAGTGCTTGTGCAACAATGTCACTGAATTGTCTCACAGTTATGAATAATCAATTAATCAAAATTACACCAATAAATGTTATCGATAACTAAAGCTCAGTGCACTAGATATTGTTGATGTCCAGAAACAATGTCAGTGCATGCCTCACAAGGAAATTTACTGTAAATTGCTAAGCAAAACACGTTATATTAATCTGGAACATACAACTATTTAAAGCACATATTCTTGTATGTTTCAAAGGAATAAGTACAGGTTTATTCCATGTTGAAAAGAGAAGAAAATAAATAATTATTAATTTAATAATTATTAATTTATTCCTTTTCCCTTATTTATTTATTCCTTTTATTAATTGTATAATGTTAGCATGCCCAAAGGGGTTGGGCAGCCAGCTGACATTGAACCCCTAGAGGTTTTTTTTCTCCTTACTAAGGAGTTTTTGGTTCCTCTCCTCTGTTGTCTTCTGGTCCTCTGTTCTGTATTCACAATATGTATAGTCACTTGCTTTGTTAAGCGCCTTGGGGCAAACTTGTTGTGAAATGCGTTATATTAAAATAGATTGAATTGAATTGAAATAATATTTTGGTTCTGGAGCCTTCTTTGGGTGTTGACAGCCTATTTATGCTAACACAGCTACCTACAGTACTTGAACTTCTTGTGTGCATGTACATCTGAAAATGCATGTGTAAAAATAAAGTAAAATACGATTTCTAGTGATTGTAACTAGTATGACCAGTCACAATGAAACTATGTTTTCTGATAAAATCTCATTTACAATGACTTACCATTGTTTTGCCACATAGGAAGCTGATACTGCTCTGAAAGTTCTGTTTGGCATTGGGGTCTGAGCATTTCTGGGTTGTGTTAAATGTCATCACATTTGGTGATGCTGTCAGCATTGACACCTCACCTGAAAGGACAGTGAAGGTCAAAATGAAGTTTGAGGTATATAATGTAAAGTACATATATCGTTGAGTTCACAGCACATCCAACAGTATATGAAGCAGCTAGCGGTTTTCTCTAGAACAGATATCAACAGAGATTAGACACAATATCAAGATAGATTAGAAGAACAATTTGTATTGAGGAACAGACATATTAAAAAGTCATATTAGATAACCAGAAAAGCTTCAGGTAAACTACATTGCAACACTGAAAAAATCCAGCTCATTTTTTCCCAAAAGTATGCAAGACTGGTAGAGCTTCATATTCCAAGTAGTGCAGCTGACAGTAGTGCTGTTAAATCAAGTTCACATTCAAAAGACATTTGTGGCAACACTCAAACAATTTACAGCAGTGAATGCTATTATTCCCTAAAGTTAAGCAATCAGAAAAGACAAATTATTAACATAATTAATGAAAGACAGTCTGCCAAGTTACATACAGGAGCCTTCTGAATTTACAGTTTTTATTATAGTTACTTAGGTGCCAATTAATTATTTTTTTTAATTCTAATTAATTGTTGTGGTTCAACAGGTGCACAAAGTTAGGCATACTAAGGTGAGCGTGTGCACACAAAACATGAGGACAAAGTGACTAGGGAAGTTCTTCACACTCTTGCTCAGACAACACATATATGATATACTTCCTGGACATTCTTTATGGGCAAAGAAAAGCCAAGAAATGTGAAGCATTATTACAAAGTACAGATTTGAAACTTAAAATATTTTAACTGAAAAAAATTTCTATGTGCTTATATTGATATTTATATAATTTTCTCCATCTGCAGAACAGCATCTATTATCTCTTATTAAAATACTCATTCAAGAGTACTTTAATAAAATCCTTACAATAATAATAATCAAAGAAAAGTCAAATAAATCTACTATTACCAAAGTTATTTAATGCTTTTTATATCTCACTGAGTTTAAAGAACATGCACAAAAAGCTCAGTCACTGAAAACATGAAACATTTCCTTCTATTCCAATAGATTACCTACAGGTATATGAAGGGTTAAGAAACTGTCTGGCCTGGGAAGGCTATGAGTTAAGGACATTTTTCTGCCAAGACTTCTAAGTATGTAATGCCAAGGGAAAAAAGCATATGATTACATGAGAACGAGACCTTGTGAATACATCAAAGTCTCCCTCTCTCGTCTGTCAACACAGACAGGAAGCTGGATGTGAGAAAAAATGAATAAGAACTTAAAACTAAACTATAAAATAAACACAGGTGTATTTTAACCTGGGTGTGGTTAATGTTAAAAGAAACCCAGTGCATGACTGATTTTCTTTCTGAATTAGAATTTCAGAATCAAAAAGGACTTATTATAATGTGAGAAATTGCAGGGCTTGTGTTTCAGTAGGAAGACTAATACATTTATGCAGAAAACTAAACAACATGTAAGTACATGCAGTGTTAGGGTATATTTTTGTACTTTACATGCCTTACAAAGTTAAAACAGGATTTTGTTATTTTAAATATTTCCATTCAAACCCTGAGATATTAATTTACAACTACATTTAAAAACTCTTACTTTCACTCATACGTTTTGACTATGAACGTGACTAATGGTACAAACAAAATATTTAGGCACAAGATGTACAGAGGCCTCTGTGTTAAAACAACACAATAGCTCTGTGCAAAACCTCTGATTTGCAGCTTTAAAAGATCTCATACATGAATTATTCTATTGTTATGCAAGTAGCAACTTTGACAGGCATTCAGCAGTGTGCCAGTTTATCATCTCCCTGAGTCAAGATGATCCCTGAAACTAAAAGATCTGATTATGAACTAACTTCCACTGACATTCAAAATGTGCATTCAGAAACTAATTTTATTTCTGAATGGCGTTTGAAAACAAAGTATATGATTTTAAGAAAACCACATGTAAATAAACCTAGGGATCTGCATTTTTATCAGTGTTGATTTTTCATTTCCCTCCTGTATGTAAAAATACATGTGTATATAAAAATAAGCATTTGTATTACAGTATATGTTTCATGAAAATGTACTGCAAAGAAATACATGTCTGGTATTCAGATAAAATGTGAAAAAGAATCACTTAAAATAGTAACAGAATAAAAAAATAAGAATTGACCATTCAGAGCTTGAAATCATCCAGTATACCTATTTGTAATGTTTAAAATTTAATTTTAAAAGATCTCATAAAATGAGTCTCCATGAGGCTTGGTAATGTGTTTCTTGAATTAACAAAGTAAAACAAATGTTTCACTTTTTACATTGTACTAATAATTAAGGCAATTAAAGCTTTTTTTCCTAAAAATGATCCATGTGTTTTTCACTTAAATATTGTTGGTTACAAGATCTTATAAAATATTAAAAAAGGTCTGGCATGATATGTCTTAATTTCAGCCTTTACATCAATAAAAGCTGAAATTTCAATAAGGGTGTGTAGACTTTTGATATCCAGTGTATGTTAGAATATGCCGCAGTTACTTAAGTCAGAATTTCTGCAAAATCAGAAAGAGATATTTTTTGAAATGACTTTGGGCTTGCAAAAAGCTCTCCAGAGGATCTCATTAGAAAACAATTTCCTCCCTAAACTGGAATGTTATGTCCAAGTGAACACACTAATTCCTTTGTACAACACATCTTCAAAGTTAGGTACCGGTCAAAGACAGTGAGCTCTAACATATTAAGACATTCTGAGTGTTAGTGAGTGTCTGTGCCAGCTACAGAATTTTACAACCACCAGGCTGTAATGACTGGATGTTTGTACATATGTCCACTGAATGGAATGTGGTGTGACACCTTACCAGCTTTTATAATTTCCCATACAATACTGACCCTTTTACATGACTACACTGGCTTTATTTTAAACTGTATTTAACTTGTATTGCACCCTTTTGATTAAGCTCTTGAAAGAACCCAGGAATAAAGGGGTAAAACAAATTAATATTAATACTAGTGATATATAATTCCTTATTTCATTGTATTATTCCCCTTGTATATGCAGCTCCCACAACCAGTACTCACCAACAGACAGGGACTGCTTGGTAGTTAAATTCTTGGCACAGATGGCACATGTTTCCCCACATGTAGTCGATGGTGAGGAGCTGCAGAGCTTTATGTCATAATGCACATTTCCATCTGGATCTACAGCCTCCCACTTGAACCTGAATCACAAAAACAAAGTGTTTTAAAAAAAACTTTACCACTATGATTTTATTTACATAAATAAATACTGCTTAAACATTATTTTGCATGTATGGGACTCAAAGAAGATCTGAAGGACCACAAAAAGCTTCACAGTGTTATGCCAAGAACAGGGCCCTTATAGGCACAGTAAATTTTGATTTTGTTTTTGTAATGTTTCTGTAATTTCTGTGCAGAGAAATGTGCTCTCAGAATAGGGACACCTTCATATGAGAAGAGCTTAACTCATCCTAACAACAGATTCAATAGTTAACACATAACCCTAGTTTTTTAACTAATAGGAGGTGCATCTGTTAAAAAGTGTAAATTTCATTATGTTCAATACAAGCACTTAATTTGATAAATTAATAAATGTACAATAGTAATTTTCAAGTTGGGATGTTATTTAAATCTACAATTATTATGTATTATAAATATAGTTAATATTCCATAATTATATATATAATTAATCATGATATGAGCTATTATTTTTATGTACCATATAATATCCTCCCAGATATTTTGGAATATTCTAAAAGGTAGTTTTCATTAAATGATAGCACTTCAGCTAAAGCACTTTCTACTTCCAGTTCAACAATGTGCAGTACATGTACCACTTCTTTATTCCAAATTATTCTGAGAGTTTGGAGCAAGCTAACCATGTCTGAAGGCTTCTGTCAAGAAACAGCTGGATGAGATCCTTAGATCAAAAAAGCTACTAACTACCAAAGGGGCCAGATTGGTTGAATGATCTCCTCTCATTTGTGTTTTTTCTATTGTTCTTGTGTAGTCAATACATTTTCAGGTGCCAAACATAACACCAGTTATGGTACCTCTTTTGTCGAAACATAAAATACGATGCACTTAAATAATGTGCTAATATACACTAGTCATGTAAACAACCAAATATTTAGCTAATTCAATTCATCCTCAAATACTTACAAACACAGTAAAACCTCAAAACATACAAAACTCTTCTGAACTAATATTACTAAATTTACTAACTAAAAATGAACTGGATAAGACCCATTCAATTTCGAATACGTTTTTACACGAATATGATTTATTTTAGATTATAACGGGGCAAAAACTGAAGCCGTAATGAAAACTGCATTATTCTGGCTTTGAAATACAGACATGTATGGATGATATGTAATTTCAACTGCACAGTGAAATGTCCTGCTTCCCAGTCTGGTTTGTCACATGACTGCTCCATCATAACTTACAATAGTACTGCATCCGGAAGACACATTAAAGAGTAAAAACATGGTTCTAATGTATTCTACAGTCTCATTGGATTAAAATAAATCATACATTTTAAATACTGATAAATTAAGAGACGCTAAGTCGTGTTTCTTGCCAGTGTTCTATATACAGGAAGTAATGAGCATTTTCAGCATTTCTATATCTGTAGCTCAAGACACAAGAAAACACTTAAAAAGAATAAACTGAATTTAGTAACTCGTGATGGACGTCAAGTGTTCCTCATATAAACATTAGATGTAACCATAAGCATATAATGTATAACACGCAACGTGTTCAAACTATATATTCATCTCATTATACTGTACTGAGATAATGCTTTTACCTTTTTGTCTCCCGCATTTTAATTTACTGCCCAATGATACTGCACTACTTTATTAACAGCTAGCTACATACCTACGTTACATACAAAAATAATTGCAGTTCTTGTACTGTGAGTCCTTTCAGCACAGCCTTTACAACTTCCCTTGTTCAGACAACCAATATATAATTGGTGTGTTGCATATTCTAATATACAATCTTGATGCAGACGGGAGTAACTGCCTTACCTACACAATTCCTGATACCACAGGCTTTCATCCGATATCGCTATACTGGATAAAAGAGTTAATACTGTTATAATCCCACGGACCACAACAACATGGCACGTTATGGTCGGAATATGCTCAAATGGTGGACCCATATTCTCGATTCCAGTGTTAACGCAGGTCTCTGCCCGACATGATACAGCAAGTAGTCAGGTAGCAGGAATTGATATAATCACATGACATAAGCCACATGACTGAAAGATCATGTGATGCTTTTGCCAGTATGAGTCGTCATTGCCCTAAGGAAAAAGAGACGTGGACTTTAACTTGTGATCTCAGTTACAGAACCAGAGTAGTGTAAGAGAAATTAAATGTTAATAAATTACAGGAATTCTCTCGTACTATTATACCTGGAATTAAAAAATATTTAAATCCCTGTAATAAAATATAGTTCCTTCGCAGTGTCACTTGTTGCTTTTAGACCGCCAACATTAAGAGCCCCATCCCCAAAAAGAGAAACAGTACTTTCTTTTCTTCCAAGCACTTCTTCCATGGATGAATACTTCTTCAGATTTCTATGCAAATGGTTTTTCGGCTCCGTATGACATTAAGGGCAGACTACCTAGACAGATGTAATTTTTGCATCTCAGTCATGGCTGTATATTTAATCTGGTGGGGTTGACTGCCCTTTATAATAATAATAATAATAATAACAACAACAACAACATCACTTTATTAACCCTTTACAATTTCTTGCATTAGGAATGATCTTTTTGCATACCCCAGCTTGCTCTCCATGAGACACACAGACAGGGAGAGAGCCTGGGGTCAGAGAGCAGTGTCTGCCATTGTACGGCGCCCCTGGAGCAGTTGCAAATTATTTAGTTTATATATCCATCCACCCATTAATTAACCATTTCTTCCAGTACAAGGTCGCAAGGATGCCAGAGCCTATCTTGACAAGCAATGGGCACAAACCGGGGTACACCCTGGATGGGACACTATTCCACTACAGGATACAACCTTGACCTGCATGCACACACTCACACCTAGGACCAGTTTTCCCAGAACCTTTCACTATGTCTTTATAGGGTGGGAGGAAACCCAAGTGAATGCAGGGAGAACATACAAACTCCACGCAAATAATAATAATAATAATAATTCCTTACACTTATATAGCGCTTTTTCTGGACACTCCACTCAAAGCACTTTACAGGTAATGGAGACTCCCCTCCACCACCACCAATGTGCAGCATCCACCTGGTCATCCCAGGTCCTAAATATCATCCCAGGTCCTAAATTGAACCCATGGTCCCAGCACTGTGAGGCAACAATGCCAAAAACTTGGCCACCGTGCTGCCCTAAATGATTTTCAAATTTATCAATTAATTTTAATATTGAACTTAAAAATCTGTATGGACATTAATGTCCTAAAACTAAAGCTTTTATTTGTATTTGAATAATAAATGAATGAAAACTATTTTCCCAAATCATGATCTTACTGTTGTACATATCACAGTGTAACATGGTACATACCATATTGTACTCCAGAGTACTACAGTAGACCATGGTATACCGTGGTAAAATTTCTTATGATTAACTTGTTAATGGCAGAGATATATTGACTTTTTTAATAAGAAACATAGCTAAATCCGTTTTGTTAAATCATTGTCCACTGAAAATGCATAAAGTGCATATAACATATAAAGGAAAATGATACATTCACGTTCATAATGTGTGTAAAGAAGCCATGTAGTCAAGTAAACAGAGATTAGTTTAAAAAATAACGTCCGCAGTTACTACAGACGCTGCTGTTAGTTTTAAAATGTGTTTTCCCCATTACTTTATTTTCCTATTAAATATTGGAAATTTTACGTTCACACAGAGTGATCTGGATTTACAGCACACAAATCTACTCCATGTTTCAGGCTTTGTGTGAAACGTCATATGGGCCTCTCCCTTTTCACAACAGTTGGCAGTAAAATGGCCACGGCGGCGGTAGCCGGGAGTGATGGCCACGGAATGGAGGAGAAGAAGTTTGAGTATTTTTCTTCCATTAACTCAATGGCCAAGAAGATTATGCTGGAAAGGGAGAAGATTAAGGAAAATCATGGATCCAACTGGGATAAAATGACTCCTACCGAGCAGGACACGGCCATTGATAACTGGATGATGGATCCCCAAATCAGAGCCCGGTATGCAATGCACAGGTTTGACCGAGACGAAGTTGTGTGTTACCCCAAACTAATCATCCAAACTGGACAGAAAATTGTACACTTCGGTGAAGAGGTGAGAATGCATGTATTACATTTTAGTATGTTTCGACAACCTCTTGGTATTATCCCGAGTTTATTTCTGAAACGACATTGTTAGGTTCCTCCATATATGAAAACAAAGAACTGTAAACGAATTCAAAGTATTATTATACCCATATCTGACTCCCTGGTGTTATTGAACAGCTTATGTCACAAGGGACGAATTGCAAAATACAATATTTGGGTCCAGCGGTTTGTTGTTCGAAAGGAGAGCAGAAGTTTAAGATACCAGATATCAATTCTGTACAATATATAATAGTATACTTTTTAATGTTTGAGGAGCTTCTTAAAATGTTTTTTTCTTCCTAAAATTAACGGTAGCTAGTTTTGCTGGGAGTTCTGTAAGGATTTGCACACAATAGCAGCTCTATTTCTCGTGTTACAATAATTGGAGTCTGCCAAGTAAGATTAAAATTACAGTGAACTAGAAATACCGTCCTGCTTAACCATGATTTTGCTGTCAAGATCCTCCTAATCGTAGCATCTCCAACATTTATATTTGTAATGTTAATTAGTTTCACAGGGAATTTACATGTAAATGACCAAAATCACAATGATTCTTATCCTGTGTTTTTAATATGATAGTTCTTTACAGTCCCATTAAATAGCACAAGCAATCTGCATATTGATCTTTTACATTATTTTTAAATTTCAGGATATAACTTGGCAGGATGAGCACTCTGCACCTTTCTCCTGGGAAACAAAGGTAATACTTTGTCAGCCTTTCGCTAGCTAGAGAAACATAATTGCATCAGTGAATGACTGGCTCTAGTTCTGTAATTGTAAGGTTGTGGGTTCCAATCCTAGGTAAGAGATGGCTGTTCCTAAGCGGAATTAGGATACTACTAATATAATATAAATGGGATAAAAACATCTATGTATGCAGGCCAATGGTGCCATGCAATCCATGGCCTCTTTCTGAGAGACGGGATATACACAAATGTTGATAATCTTTTATGCTGTGTACATACAGTATGTGAATATGAAAGTTAAGAGCCTAATGTTGAATGTATGCCCATCTGAATTGTCAATATGAAAATAAAAGCCTTTAGTTTCAAGAGACACCCTTTTCATGCACAGAAAACTGATATTTAATTGTTTACAAATTTTATAATCTTAAGGCATTTATAGGGTTGCAATTTAAACTTATCCTTGTATTTTTCTCATTTTCAGAAGTCTTTTCCCAAAGGTATAGAAGCATGTTTCTGCCAGGGAGTTAAAAAAATGTGCAATGGTATCTCAGAATTTGGACTTCAAAATAGCTCACATTTCATTGTCTGTCCTTTTGTTATTGGAACGGATTCGGGTTCTAGGGCTTGTGCCCTCGCCGCTCCCACTCTAGTTCGTGCCTCACTGCATGGACTCAAACACAAGTTTTGCTAGCTGAGCTAAAGAAGACCTCCTTTAACCCCGCCAGCCAACATCCCTGTTATGCGCAAGGGAAGGCGGTGCCATCACCGCACTGCAAACAGATCGCACAACCTGTATGTTGGCAGTTCCGTTACACTATATTCATAAATCATACAGGATCATAGGATCTATAGGCCTGAAGACTTGTCTTGTCAAGTACCATGATAAAAATCAAATTAATTACACACATTTTTATGGAACCCCATTTTCGCCAGGGAAGCTTCCATAGTACCCGGATGGAATAGTGGACGGTGGGCTTTTTAAAAAAGTTTTTATTTAAACACCAGAAATACAAAAAAGGAGACAGAATATGAAAAAAATACAGAAACAGACACTTCACATCCAAAGGAATTCACAATTATAAAAGCTGAAACTTATACTGCCTTTTGATTCTTTAAATTTCTAATAGAATTTAAGTAAAAAAGGAATTGTAATTTAAAAGCATTAATAGAGGGAGCGGTATTACACCATTTACTTTTCTGGATGCAGTATTTCACCAAAATAATTAACAAATGAATAAGAACATACCCTTTATCCATAACTCATGCCCTTGCCATCCTCCCACAACATCTGGGGAGTGAACCTGGATCTTCGGCGTAACGCAACAGGGAACCAGCTGAATGAGCTAAAGAAGACCTCCCTCAGCCCATGCCGCTGAAGTCCCTTCTACACGCAGGGAGGGCGATGAAGTCACCGTGCCCAAGCTAGCTCTGCTACAAAATCAGATCTTAATATGAAAATATAAAATATCAAAATCTTTAAATTTTACATGTACCTTTAAATGTTTAAAGATGACATTTTGTAAATCTGTCCAAAACAAATTTGGTACAATTCTTTTTTTTACTTTATAAAGGTCTTCTTTAGCTCATCTGGCAAGACCTGGGTTCAAGTCCATGCAGTGAGGCACGAACTAGGGTGGGAGCGGCGAGGGCACAAACCCTAGAACCTGACTCTGTTACAATAACAAAAGGACAGACAGTGAAATGTGGGCTATTTCAAAGTCGCAATTGTGAGATACCACAGCGCTTTTTTTTTTACTCCCTGGCGGAAACGGGCTTCCATAAGAAGGCAATTTTGCTTTCAGAATAGTAGTTGTTCACAGTTTAATACATTAACATAATGATACACTGAATACATACTATAGGATATAGGATGTGCATTGACAAGAAAATAAGTGCATAACATGCACAGTAGGATCCACTGTTCGCAATAAAGTCTTATTAAATGCATATTTTTAGATATCTTGTAGACCTTAATTTCTATAAGGTTAACAAACAGTTTGTATTACAATTAAGAAATTGAAACATGTTATTGATTATAAAAATTGACAGAAATTACAGTTTGGAACTAATCCAAACTGGATTATCTCCCTCGCGACCAATGAACTGAATGGAGAGGTTAAAAAAAATAATGAATTTATTAAAACCTCCTATAATACAAGAAAAAAGTGTATTTTTTCTTTCTTATTTTTAATTTTACTGGAATATTGTATATTTATACAAATATTGATTTATATGTTCAGTTTTTTTGTAATGTCTTCCTTTTACTAAGAAATCTATCCAGCTAGAAATCTGTGTGAAGGGGTTTGTTGCCTGATAATGTCAATGTACAGTGTGTTTGTTTATTTTGTTATATTGAATGCATGTACTTTAATATATTGTAAAGGTGTAAATGACAAGTCTTCTCCAGAACTGAAATAACTGTTCATGTACTGAATTAAATCTAACATGTAACTCACTCTTCCCAGTAGTACAAATGCTCCTGTAAAAGCACACACTGGACTGCCATCACACTTACATAACATCATTAATATCTGTAATATATTTTAAAGCATAAATGGTCCAGCATGTTTAATTGTGTTGTGGTAACTTATTACAAAACCACATGACTTAATTTAAGTGAATTGACCGAATAATAGTCAAATCATTACTGATCAAATGGTCTAGATCCCTAACCATTGTTAGGGATTCTGACATACACATCGAGTATAATAGGAAGTAGCTTTGTGATGTACACATTTGACAATTATTTTGGTAGTTTTAAGTTGTGGTTTGGTTTGAACAGTATGATTTTTCAATTAGTTATGTGAAGATTTCTGCTTCAGTAAGCACCCTTTTCTTATGGTTGTCCTTTTCTGGTAATACTCTAAATCAAAATATCATTGATTGTGTATCTAACTCTTTTAAATAAAAAAAAACACAATAAATGCTTTATCCTAGTAAACGTTGTGTATTTTAGAAAGTTTTCCATCATATGACTGGTTTTAGACATTAACTTAAGGTTTAGACTCTGAAACATTCCTGCTCCTTCCTGGGTGGATAGTGGTAGTGAATTTTCTGTTTAAGGTCTGATCTGTGCTTGCCACGCTTCTAACTGTTTTTCTGACAGAGCCAGATGGACTTCAGCCTGACATTGACTGCAGCTCCAGAACAGGCAATCTCCTCTTCGCAAGCTGATGCAAAGCAAACCATAAAAAATTCACAGCCATCAAAGGTGTCCCAGAACATCCAAACAGTGAAAGTGTCCCAGAATGGAAAGGCTCTCAATGGAGACAGTTTTGGTCTGAGCAGGAAGGAAGAGGAGTCGTCATTCTGGAAGATCAGTGCCGAAAGGTCAAGACTGGAGGGTGAGCAGGCTGATTTTCAATCCCTAACACCCAGCCAGATCAAATCTCTTGAGAAAGGAGAAAAAACGCTGCCCTCATACTTGCGACAAGAATCTAACCCTAGAGACAAAGAGGAGCAGAGAACCGAGAGACCTCGAGCCCCCAAAACAGAAAAGCCAGCACCCATCAGTGTGTCTTCAACTGTGGCAGGATGGGAGCGTGTTCAGACCAGCCTCCCTTCTGTCAGCATATTAGATGACGTCTTCACTCCAGGACCAGAAACCAAGTCTCCCATTCACACTGTCGATACCTCGAAGGATGATGATAAAGAGGAGTCAACTCTGGCAGCAAGTCCTACCTTCTCCCAGGTAGGTACACCTAGATAATAACATTGCCCTTTGTACTACTTTTTTATTTCCTGAAATAATCATCCTTAACTTCTGACACTTACTCATAAAATAAGTAAATTTTATGCTGACATGGAAAAATAAGATAAAAATTAAATGTCCTAGACCTTATGGAAAACTGACACTTATTAAAATATCAGTAAACAACAAGCTACTAAAAACATCTAGTGAAAGAAGTTAATATATACAGTGTACTACAAATTATGTAAAAATAATAAATTATATTAAAGATCCAGAGAATAGCAGTAGGTAAAGAAGGACAATGATAATGTGTACTTTAGGGTCATAAAAAACTATTATAGTTGTCATTGGATTAAGAGATTCTGAATAACTAGTAAGAGATACATTAACAGTCACTATATAGGCTGGGGTGTACCAGATTTCCTGATTGGTTGAATTTTTCAGTATGTATAAGTTGGATGCCAGTGGATCCCTGTGCTCCTGAGATTTTACTGATTGCTTTCTGCTAGAGGTTAGGTAATTAACTTTATTTTGACTTAGAAATTTAAATGTTATTGCTGACATTTTTCTCTTTCACAAATGTATAAACTACCTGCTGGTTCTTTAATATTGTTTTTTGCATAGCTATCTACATGTTCATGTTTTTAATAAGCAGAGGTTACTGATAATGTAATATTTGTCCCAGTTTGGTATTTACTTAAGAAGCGTTTCAGAATAAAATGAAAATATATCAGGAAAAGAAATATGAAGACATAACTCTTAAATGGTTTTATGGTACTTTTTGAAAAGAAAATTAATCTGATATTTCAGCTTTAAATATTTAAGCTTTAAAAAATAAAACACAAAAAAAATAACTGATTGAAATATCCAGGAGACTATTTCTTTTTTCTTTCCAGGTTAAGCTCTTCATAAATGACAGTGATACTGTAAAGTCACTTAGTTAATTTTGTTTTGGTGCCTCGCTTTCACCTTACTTTCACTTTTTTAGCACTTTCAGTCCATAGTGTCAGAAAAGTTTTATTACCAATAACCAATGATATACAGTTGGGGACGCCAATAGTTTTAAGGGATGCCCCTATTGAGAATGCTTTTTAGGACCTTGTTATAATAGACTGTGTGCTGTTTCTGAAAGCCTTTAAGACTTTAAGGCATAATAAGAGGCTGGCAAACTTTCTTGGGTAGATTTTGAGTTGACAAATCATGAGTTGAGATCATGAGATCTTAGAGCCATGCTCACACCAATACATGCCTGATTTGAGGTAGCTTAATAGTTTTATCATGAACACTTAACCCATGAGTTATTTTTTAAATAACATAATATGAATCCTTCTATATTTTATCTGAATCTCAAAGATTCAGATGTTTTCAAGGGCAAAATGGGAAAAATTTACATATATTGCCTTGGTAGTAAAGTCAACATTTGTTTTCTAGTTAAAAATCAATCCTGTCAGACTCTTGGGCATGAATATATTGTATTTAAGTGTAAAACGGTAAAAGTCTTTTGCAAACTTCTGAGTCCTATAAAATTTATATGGCAAGATTATAAGTTAAAGGTTGTTCTTACAAGGAAAATCTCTTGTGACCTCTAGGACTCCTAAAGTATCACTCTTGTGAATGCTTTTAAAAGGGTGAAAATGTTAGTGTTAATGACTAACGGCACTATATCTCGGATAACAGTCTTAAACCATTTCTTTACATTTTTCATTCTAACACATTTAATTGTTGTTTATTTTCCAGTTTAATACAAGTAGCACCATTCTGAAGACAGGGTTTGACTTTCTGGACAACTGGTAAAAAAAGGCCTGGTGGAAGGATACTCTTAAGAAATGAACCTCAAGTTTTCTTATGTGAGCTGTGGAAACCCACTATAATAGAGCTGTCTTCGAACTTAACATTGATTATTCCATCTGTTAATGCAAACATGCTTTATTTTTCATTAACTAAATTTTCCAATATCTGACTGTTATATGGCTTAGTCATAATGACCTCTTACTAGTCTTGAGCAAGTGTGCTGTATGCATTTATATGTATTTAAAGTTGTGCATTTATTGTAAAGCATGTTTACTAAGTTTAATACATCTTTGTCTGGCTTTGTCCGTCTTTGTCTCCAGCCAGATTACAACACCATTATGTAATAATAAAATTATTTGAAATTCTGAGAGGCATTTTGTTTCTGTTATCCAACAAAGTGACTCAGCAGGTTAATAATGTCACAAGCAATTCATTAGTAGCTCAATATCCTGTAATTGTTTAACAGGTGGGAGTTGTAAACAGTAACATTAAAAATGAATTTACACTCATGATCATGCCGGTAAAAATTATTACAGTATACAAATAATGAAAGGAAAGTATATCAAATAAGGTATTATACAAATTATTCCTGTGCAGAAGATGTTTTGTGATTAAAGAACATAGGCTTTTATTGGCTATAGAGCAATAGAGCAAACCAATGATAGCCTCTATAGCCAAGCCAGTAGAGCTGAAAAAACAAGTATAAAGGATAAAATGGTTTTCCCCACTTCTTGATTCCCAGGAATTAAGAAAACACATAAAAGAATAACAGTATGTCTACTGGCCAAACTTGTTTCAGGCTGGAGGGGCCTAAGAGTGGTTTAAACAACAAGGCACTTGGAAGGTATTGACTACTTTTGATGAACTCAAGATCCTGTATATGAACAACATTTGGCTGCTATTTTAAAATACTTAACTGCTATTTTAATTTTTTAAACAAAATACATCACATACATGAAATGTGGATGTTATGAAAATAAATAAAATAGAAAGGGGGGTTTAGCAAACCTCTTTAAAGGGGAAGGAAAGCAACAGAAGAGTTTGTGCATTGGTGAAATGTAAGTTAACTGTGCTTCCAATTAGAGTAGTTTTCTACAAATTAAAGTAATTTAATTAATACAAGTTGTATATTTAAAAGACTTTTTTACAATTGTACACTATACAGAATTTCTTATCATTCATCTTTTAATAGTTTTTACATGATTATTTTTTACTCAAAGCACTTTGCAAACTTAAACACAGAAATTCCTGTTGAATTGTCAGGATATTAGGTGGCTGCTGGCCCTAGTATTTTTAAGGGTTTGTCCCTAAAGCTGACAAGGTCTTCAAGCACATTAAAAAGACCATGCATGAATTTGATAGCTCTTGCCCAGACATCAAGACAGACTTGTAAATTCTCCATCCAAGACAATTAGACAATTACTGTAGATCTGACATAGTCACCTGAATAAGAGATAGAATAGAAAAATAGACATTTTAAATCAACAAACATCCATAAATCCATTTTTAACTGTTTTTTTTAATACTGAGTTGCAGGGGATCTGGAGTCTATCCTGGCCAGCAATGGATGTAAAGCAGGATACTTCCTAGACTATTCCAGTCCATCACAGTACACACAAACACACAACATTGTCCACACTCACACCAGGGCAAGACTTTCCGGAAGCACATTAGCCTTTCCATATTTGTTTGGACTGTGGGACGAAAACCAGAGCACCTCATGAAAACCCACACAAACCTGGGAGAACATTCAAACTCCACATAGGTAACACCCCAGGAACGGAACCAAACCCCCAGTTCTAGCACTGTGAGGCAGCAATGTTAACTATTGTGCCACTGTGCCACCATCAACATATATGACATGGGTAAATGTATTATGCAGGTTCAGATTTGTCACCAAAAAGGGCTCAATAATGAAAAGCACTGGATAGTAACATGTATGGTCAACAGTGGAAAGAACACACACTGTAAATCTGCAACATTGTCTTTGCACCAGGTTGCACTTGCCGTCTTGAAGTATTCTGTATCATTCCTCACCGAGCCTGGACAGATGTTTGCGATTACTTGTTTTCCTATATCCCGCATCATCCCAGCTCATTCCACAGACGCTCAAGTCTGGCAAACAAGGCGTCTACAGTATAATTGCCTCACAAGAAAGTGGAAAGTCAAGCAGCATGAGGACATGCATTGTCTCACTGGTATGTTGTATTCCAGTATGAGCCCACAGAAAGGGCAGCAAATGAAGTCCCAGGACATGGAAGAATAGCCCCATTGACTGATTTTAAAATTTGCAGAAACCCTCTGTAGTGGTTGTTGCTTTTACAATATGTTCACAAAAAGGTTATTTGAGTGTGCTACTGGGGTTTGGCATTGGATAGATAAGTCATCTAATCATTCTTTACCATTATTTTTGGCAACACATAGAAACTATCCAGGTCATGTGAATTTTTAAATATAATTTAGTGAGGAACAGATTTTAGGGGTTCAAATTAAAGCATTTCTGTTTTAAGACAGCTTTGTAGCACCATCTTCTGTCATTTTATATATACAGCATTTCAGTAGAAGCACTCATACTTAAAGCCATATGAGCTCATCAATTGTTCAGTGTTACCTCACCTGTCATTCACAGAAAAGCATAAGATCCATCCAAAGAACAGTAACGTTTTCCAGCTCCTTTTGGACTGGTCCTCTTCTATCATCCAGATATTTAAAAAGCCATAAAAAGGTGACAGTAAGACCACTGGTAATAAGCATAATAAATTAAATCCTCTTTTATTTATATAATGCTTTATTATGATTTTCATCTCAAGTGATCCCAAAGTACTTTATCATAAGTTATGTAGTATTAAGGGTATTAACTTTAAACCATTAAAGTGCAGGAACACATGGGTAACACATGACAACATGGCTCTAGGTAGACATAAGAAATTGCATCACAAAGTACATTAAGGATAAACTTTAGGAACCAGACCATGCAAATCCAGAGTAGAATTTAGCCAGTAAACCTGGGTTAACACCCTGTACTCTTACATAAGTGCCAAGGGATCTTTAAATGATAAACACCAAGTGAAGGTTCGGGGGAAAAGTCGGGGGGCTGTCCTCTTCCTCTATTATTTAATCACTGTCTTCATATTTAAACCCTATCCACACTAACACTCTTGGCTAAAGTTCTGAGTTCCCTCCGTCTCTCTCCTCGTCCCCTTTCTTTTGTCTTGCCTTTGCATCTAAGGGTTCCCTGCACTTCACCAAGATCACTTCCCTCACCTCAGATTGGCAGCGTGACCTTCACTCCTCCTAGGGGTGTTCTTTCAGCATGAGTCAGAGGGGACCCCTGCCCACACAATTTTAACCTACTACTTTTTCAGTCTCTTGAGGACTTAGCCCAGTCATGAGGCAGCACCTTCCAAAGTGACTCTAAGTGAGTTGGGGGACTTCTTTTGCTTCCTTCTCAAGTGATTCTCGGTAAGTTAAGTTATTCTCTTCATTTCCTGGGGCCGTGCCTCTCAAAGTAACTCTTTGAGACAGGGGGCCCTTTCTTTTTCTTCCTCTTGAGGGATTCATTCCCATTTATCAGGCATCACCTCACAAAGAGCCACATAGTGTCTCTCAGCAAGCTAAGGGGGTCTATCTCTCTTCCTTTCTATCCCCTGAGGGGCTAACCCACTCATGAGGTAGCATCTCTCAACTGACTCTAAGTGAGTCAGGGGCATTTATGTTTTCATGTCCTTGAGGTCATGTCATGAACCTTGAGGTTGCCGAGCTAGCCGACCCATAAGGATCACTCAGGTTTCCAGCATGGTCCCATGCTTCTTTTCTGTACTTTGACCCTTTCTTTTACCCCTGAATCACCCAGTGAATGACCAGGTAGCCAGAACCTCAGGGAAGTGTTCCTGTGCTGTTTTGGGTGTTCGCAGAGCTAGGTGCTCAGGGTTTGGAAGAAGGAACTGGCAGTAAACAGATGGTCAGGTGTAATACTGCATTATTCATTCACACCCTGTTCTTAGGGTCCTCATCTTGATCACAGTCAAACATGTTTACAACCCTACTCTGAATGGTGTGGTAATTGCTCATTGTCTGTGCTAAGCGACAGTTGATCAGGGCAGGAAACCTAGACAAATAACATTTGGCGACGCTTGTCCATTAATGCAACTTAACATCCGTACAGCCCTTACTGTGCACCAAGTTGTGCCATTTCTCTACAATTATCTAGGTTTTCTTGAAAACCTGGAAAAAAAGAACAGTAACCCATCACAAATATCATAAACTTGTAATATTTGCATTAATTATATATACTCAAGGTATGTAATTATTTAAGGTAAAACAATGGTCTGAGTTGATTTAGATTTAATATAAGGGAGTTTTGGTTTATAGTTTGGGAAATATTTAATTTCAATTTGTGGTATCATTGAAGCTAAGAATCCCTCATTTATTTTGTGATGTGTTATTCTGATTAGGGAAAAGATTTCCATTTGTTTAGCATCAATTGTAGAGAATGGTCTAGTCTGTGTATTCCCTTCTTTTATAAGAATCAGAAGACAAGCTGGTGTCAGGACCTGATTTGTACCTTTAAATTTAAAATCCCTTATTCAATAATTCAAACCCTAACTAGTTATTGTCAACTAGTTAGCTACAGCTATTGATATAGCTATTGAACTGTCATCATTTGCACTGAACAAAAACGATGTATAGAAGCTGATGTGTTCTCTGATCTGTAGGTGTCTGAGCGCCATTAATCAAAAGTATTTACCTGGTTTACCTTATTTAACTTTAGACTTCTGAGATACCTTCTTTGTAACTTATATGTTTTATGTTGCATGCTACATTGTGTGTTATATGTTTGAGACTGGATCAGTATGTGCCAGGAGAAAATGGAGCCAAGTGAAGCAGAGGCTTTACGACAATGCAAGACCCCCTGAATGCAAGACCCCTACCTACACTGGAACAAGGAGCTACCATTTGTTTCCAACAGGAAACCGGGCAGTGGAAACCTGCCATAGTCATCCAGCCTATGGGAGGTTAAAGGTCTTACCTCATACTGTGGTGTCGCCGGGGGAAAAGCAGGTGTAAAAGGGATGTTACTTGCACCACACTAATCTTCTCCGTTTCTTTGTCTGCTTGTTTTCCAATTCCGATCCATAATCCGTTTCCAGTATCCTTAAACAATCCAAATTCCAAAGTAGGTATTTGTCCACACCAATCCGTACTGTAACCAAGTCGTAATCCGTAAACCGTAGTCCATTATTCCTTAATCCTTTCAACCACAATCCTAATCCTCTTCTTCCTCCAAAACTCATTCACCTTATCACCTTCCACACTGGCTCACCGCTTCTGGGACATTTATATTCTGTTTCCTGATGTTGCTCAGCTGTGTCTCATTGTTTCACTGCATAGGCCTTTTCCAAAAGCGGGTCAGCTGGTTCTCCTTGGCGGCCATCTTCCTCAGGTCTATATCAAGTATATTAAGTGTTTCGTTCTGCAAATACCAGTTATAAATTACCCTTCCCCTGGTCCTCTTACAATATGCACCAGTGAAGGACAAACCTACACCCACAACCGCTGTCACCTTCTGAGAAGAAGACCAATCTATATCTGAGCAACAACACCAGCCAGACGATGAGCCCACCACAGATCAAGAACCACATCGGAGCAGTGACGAGCTGGAAAAGAACCCTGCCAATGCAAACATACAAACACCTATTTACCTCACTACCAGCTCTGGTCGCAGAGTCAAGCCAAGCCAGATGCTTGACCTGTGAAATGTAAAGGGTGTAGGCAGATCGCTGCCCTAAGCAAACAAATGTATACATGTTCTTTAAAATTTATTGTGCTGAATGTTAACAGAAATGTACATGCATTCCTTAAAATTGTTGTGCTCAATGTCAATGGTGAAACATATATGCCATAGCATTGTTCTGCCATGATGTACTAAACGTATTGATGGTAACATTTATGTAAATATGTGTAACAATATAAAATACTTCTTTGAAATATTTGTTGTTCCCAATAAATAACACTGGGCATATTCTGAAAGAGTACATATCAAGATGCTCACATTCCAGTTAATGTTGATTTAGTAGTGTAGTATCCTTTCACGAGGCACCAGTAATGTAGGGGTTTGTGCATTTACTGGGACTATTATTAATTGTGGCAGTAAGTCAAAAAATTATTCTTTTGATGGTATTAGAATCCAACCTTGTGGGATAACTCAAACAATGCACACACAATGGTACTAATACATGAGAATACATTTATTAATACATAAAATGTGCATATAAACATAACAGATCTTATCGAGAGGGTTAGCAGAATACAACAGGTATATATTCAATCACAAAGAGTTACACATACCAAGAGGACATACATTCAGTACAGTATATCATTCATTTAGACCGTTTTGTAAATGAACTTGGTTTACAACTTCTACACTAGATACTCAAAAACAAGTATATCACTCATAGGAATTACATTGATATCAACTCAGGTTGAGGTAACAATTGAATTCTCTAGCTGTGTCCAATCGGCGCTCTCTGGCTCGGTGCCAGCTGTGTTGTTGCTGCTTGTGACGTGGTGGAAGAGATTCCTGCGATGTGCTGCTGATGCTTTCTGAAAACTGGCTAGTTAGTGTTGGGTGGAACTAGCAAGAGTTTGTGCACAAGAGAAAAGTGACTGCGGGTCCCAGCAGGTCAGGAAGAACACCGGTTCATTCTTGATGAAGCGCTAGTTCTGAATAGTCCACAGCTGTCCACAGTTCCGACCTGTTCACGAGGCTTGCTGCTGATGCTAACCTCAGAAGTATCCTTTGGTTATGCGCTGGCAACCTCCGCTCTCGACTCTTAGAACAAAGGAAAGTTCTGTTACTCAGACACACTGACCGATACATGGTGGTCCGGGCTAAGTCTGAGGATGCTCAGGTGGGCCCTGAGGCTGAATGTCCAGCAGGCGCGCTGCGAGAATGTCCTGCGCTCGGGAGCTGTGTTCTCTTGGGAACTGTCCTACCCTTCGGAACTGTCCTGCCCTGCGAACCGTTCCTGATTGGCTGATGATGAGTAACCATGCACTCTGATCTTAGGGTCGGAAACCAACTTTGAATAAGACTCTTTCTTGAAATCTCAGACTTTTAGGAGCCAGAAATGACATTTGTTAAGGTGGTTGATGGGTACCAGCTTTTGGGAGCTGCTCCATATCAGGACACTCTTATCAGCTAGAAAAACCTTAATTGTTAACCAAATTTAATGGCCTCTCTCAGTATCAAGCACCACTGAAATGAAAGAGAGAGGGACTGGCAAGGGAGCAGAAAACTTAATTCCTGTATTTTAATAAGCCTCGCCGCTACAGTAGTATTGTTTGTATTTTCTTATTTACAAAAAAAGAGGGATGTAATACTTGCCTTTTATGTCGAGCTACTTGTGCACTACATTACCCATAATACCTGGAAAGGTGTGTGTAAGTCAGGTCAAGTTAAGATGGTGATTAAGTAAAGGCACATATATATTAATACCCATTCTCTGAGTCTCTATTAAATAATAAAAGTACGAGAGCAGTACACAACAGAACATCGCAGGGGTTATGATGATTTATTTTACTTATTGATTATCCACTCAGTATTCTATTTACTTAGCCCCTTTTTGTAGCAATATTCACTATATATACAGAATAGAAAGAAAAGAGACACAACATTTTGGCTGTGGAGCCTTCTTCAGGTGAAGGCTCTACAACCAAAACATTGTGTCTCTTTTCTTTTCAGCATGGAAAAAACCTTTAATTGTTCCTTTGGGCCTATGCATGCTGACTCAGCTCCCTCCTTGAACTTCATATATACAGAAATTATATTAGTTAAGTAGCATGTTTACAACAGACTAACCTGTAGTTAAATATCTGATTGTTGGGCTCAGCTAAACTTGTGGATATGGTTTTATTATCTGTGCCTTCAGGCAAAGGGCTAAATCATCTACAACTACAGAAGGCAAACCTGATGTCTACATACTGTACAAGAATTTCAGGCCAGTACCTACCAGGGCAATTAGAACAATGCAATGAAAGCCCTTGTGGTTATAATAACATCACCTAGTTATCTTTTGTAGCTGAATAGCAATGTGTTTGCATGAAGCAGCTGCCAGGAGGTTTCGGTACTAGACGTTGCCAGCTGTTTATCTTTGACCACTCTGTAAAGTGGTTCAGATGAAACATGGTCCATGAGAAAACAGGATCTTTAATGCATAAAATGTGGTATTAAAGTTAGTAAAATGTGGCGTTAGAGAAAGAAAAATTTAATTAAGATCTATAAAAACACCTTCCAACAAATCATTTGTTAACATGTATTCTTCTTTTGTAGTTTAGAGTTGAAAAGCTAATTTGGGCATGTTTGTGAAAGAGCATTGTAGAAATAGAACAACAAACATCAACAACTATAATAGGATTACATTTCAGATAATAACACTCTATTTTCCTGTTTTTTCTGTTGTTACGTAATAAAAGTATTAAGGCACTATCTGTTAAAAAATAAATTAAGTACACCAGTATCCATATTACGTAAATACTGTATAACCTGTAATAATGTCAGTAATGTATTTACTTGTGAAAATGATGACAAACCATCTGGGTCCTGAAACAGCAATGCGGACTCAAACCTTGATACATCCAACACCATATTTGACGGTTAGGATAAGAGTCTGTTGTTGGTAAATATAAACCTTGTTTAGCTTCATGTCTTGCCTTTGCAGCGATTCTCCTGATCTCTCTATTGTGTGTTTCTGTTTCCTGGACTTCGATTCCCCTTGACAATGATTCCAGATCTTGATTTACAGCTAAGTACACCTGATTTTTTTAAGGCCCCTGCTCCTCCTCCGCTTCTCTCTACCACATAGCGTCCGTCTACTATCAACTCCGCCACGCGTTGGTGTAACAGTTTCCTAATATAACTGTATGTTAATAAGCTCTCTTAAACAAGGCTCAAATTACTTAACTAGAATGTGGTTTCCAAAACTGAACAAAACAAGGTCTTCTCAGTTGGCACACTCCTCTACTCTGTTCCTTTTCTTTTTTGTCCTGTCTTCCAATGTTTTCTTATCCTGTCCATTTGATCATTTGTGCAAAACTGTAACTGAATAAACTGTAACTAATTGTTTTTAAATATATGACACCTCTCCTGCCTTATTAAATGTGTGTTAAGTTATTTTACTCTTGTAGGGAATACTCTCATAAGAAGTGAAATTTTATTTTGAATTTGTATATTCTGGGCCTAGTTGTAACACTGATGTGATGATGGGGACTTGTGGACATTATTATTACAGAATTTTCTCTATGCTGTCACATTGTAGCTGACCATCCTTTGAGGTTGAAAATCATTCACTATGTAAAGCTATTTTAAAATGACAAAAAATGGATTAAAATATGATAAGTACGTGCAAAAATAAAAATGGTAAGACAGCATTAAGACAGCATTGTTAACTCAAAATGGATATGGAAGGAATAATAAAAAAGAAAACAATGGAATTTCCTGTTGTTCCTGAGGCCAGACTGGGAAACAGCTGACAACCAGCAAAGGGAGAGGAAGAGCAGTGAACAAAGCCCAAAGACAGAAAGACTGTAGCAGTTTTTTTTTTTTCAAATCCAACAGCTAAAAAGCTAAACATGGGTAAGGGAGCAGTTTTAATTCATTTTATCTGTTTTTCTCAACTTTTTCAATGCAGCCCCGGGACAGGAAGTTCAAAGAGCCACTCAGATTGGGGAGTGTACATGAAGCACAGGAGGATTATCCTTGGGAGTTCTGATCCAGAAATACAGGTTTGGGGCAACTTTCAAACCATTTTGCTTCCTCACACTCCGAAAGAAACTATATAAAATATTTAAGGGTGCAAATGTATCAAAATAATCACATTATATTAGAAATGTAAGTTATCTCAACACATAGTTGTGATTTATTCTGGATTGTTTTTTCAGACATCTAAAGTACTGGACTAAATTATGGATTTGATGTAATGTATAGTGATTTGTGAATGGTACTTTTCTCTAATAGCACTATCTAAAATAAAGTATAGATTGAAACAGGCAAATGTTGTGTACTGGGGGCTTGTAATTGTTCGCTGTGTAGTTGCATTCATTTGAAGTTCAGGTTCAGCTCTCTAGTCTAACTTTGGCTGTCCATGACACACAGGGACAAGAGGTTGTACAAGAGGGACGTGATAATGGGAATCAACCTGTGATTCCTCAACTTCTGTGAATGGTGCATGTCTTTGCATTTGAGATGTTTTATCATACAGATCCATCAGTCATTTGTGTTGTCGTAGAGTTACATCAATTCAGTTGATCATACAGCACATACTAGTTAAAGCTACTAGTTAAAGCTGTGTCAGTATGTGTGGGCTGAAAAAGAACAGGCATAGGTTCATTCCATGCTGAAATGTAAAGAAAAGAAACACAATGTTCTGGCTATTGAGCCTTCTTCAGGTGTCTGTATAGAAAGACACTGGAAAAAAGGGCTCCACAGTCAAAGCATTGTGCTTCTTTTCTTTACATTTCAGCATTGAATAAAACTATACCTGTTCAAATATATTATTGATGATATACAATATATGAAAATCTTTATTTATGCAAATTTTCTAGGTTAGGAGCTTTACAAATCTCTGGGTTTTACAGGTATTTGTCAGCTAGCTACAAAATAAAACCGGGAAAGACAAGTGGATGACTACTTATTAAGATAATAAGTTTCGTAAAGTAAGAAGATATAGAAGTAAAACCAACAACATCCCTTTACAGACAAGGGTCTAGCTAAAATACAAATTGCACCCAGCTTAATAATTCAATAATATAAATGGACATCAGACGATTTTTCTATGGCTTTTCCTTTCTGATCTGTAAAAGGAATGTTTGCTGTACATTTGTTGTCCTGCATCTGGGATCTATACCAGCTTAGCAGCTTGCAAAAAAGCTTGCTGTATGTTTTGTGTTTCACAAAGAAAACCTCCTTCAGCTGACTGTGAAAACATGACTTTATATATCATAATGCAGTCTGATGCTAATTTAGATGTCCTTTTGTAACTCATGTCAATTAATGTGTTAGTATAGTAACATGTTCCAAGATTTACTTTTAATGCTATAATATCATTGCCTTGACAGCCATCACCAGGACAAGCAAACTGAAAATAGATGGACAAATATATTATTTGTAAAATATAAATTAAGATTGGCTTTTTGTTAAAGTTATTTATTGATGAGTTCTGTGTTCAGACCATCCCTACTGTATTTGTAAGCAGTAGAAGCCCTATGTGCTTGTAACTGGGATTCAGTCTTGCTAACGTGGCTCTTCAGGGTGAAGACACAGAGCACCTGGAGACAGCTGAGGTTGTAGAACGGTATGAGAGAGAAGAACCAGAGGATAAAAGATTGAGCAGAACAGAAGAGACAGAAGAAAATTCAACTGTCCCAACCCAAGGCCTGGAACCTACCACTTCCGCCCCTGTGCTTGATGACACATATACCTATATCTGTAAGTCTTTCAAAAATTGTTAATAACAATATTATTTTCATGTCTTTACATCTGTAAATTTCTCAATCTGACACTCTAGTATGGTTAGCATTATTTCTTACAGGACATGTCTTGTACATGAAACCATAGTTTTCCGTAGTGAAGACAAATCTGTACTATTTGGATTTTGTGATTGTTTTGTTATGGCACGGCTGTGCACTGAACACACTAGCAGTGGTTTAACATGATGAACCCTGAGTGCTAAGGCTCAAGGAGTTTCGTAGCTTTCCGAAGGTGGCCAAAGGCAGAGGGATCGGCGCTTGTTGAAGGCAACTGAGGGCATAGTGAAGATAGGGCAGCAGGCTGTTGGAGTAGCTGTGGTCTGCGTAGGACACCACTGAGCAGGCATTTACATTCCAGGACACAGGCAGGATCTGGGATTCACAATCCTATTGGAGTTGCTAGTACGCCCAGTAGGATTTGTGCAGATAACTGTACTGCCACTGGTGGCTAAATGATGGAGTACTTCCTCCGTGGCGTTTCAGGAATAAATGAGGGACTGTGAAGACAGGATTGAATGGATGATTGGCTGAATGATTGGTAGGGGGAAGGGTGGACCAGCCAAGTCCTTAGAGCCACGGGACAACCGTGTTCACTTGTGGGAATGCCACTGTCTCCTGGGGAAATTGTGGGTTGTGAGCCATTGCCATCCCGGTTGTGACTTATTTTTGTTATAATTAATATTCAAATTTAAGATTCTTCCTTAGTAAGCATCAGTATCATTCCACTAAAAATTATTAACTAATTAGAATTCATTTCTTAATCTCTTATCTTGTACAGAGCACTGTTTCCTATAAACATATACATAGCAGTCATGTTTACGTGACTTGATCGTTCCTGTTTAATAATCATTTCAAGGTTTTTATCTTATTCAAGTATCCCCTATCCTGGTTCTTGTGGACCGTGTTTTCAGATTTTTAGTCAGTCTGGTCTTTAAAGGTTCTGAATAAGCTAATTGTTTGCTTAATTCAACCACTTTGACAGCTCGTCCTTATTCTTCGGGTGCTGCTGCTTTAAAGAGATTTAGAAAACCTTTGTACAGTATATACTGATGCAGTCACCAAGATTGTGCATCAAAACACATTGCCAGAGCAAAATGAGTTAGTGCTGCCGCTGTGTGATTTGTAACACTGCCCAGAGAATCTTTGCTGGCCAAAGAAGTTGAATAGGTGGCACTTGTGGTATGTTAGATGTAAGTGAAAACATTAGCTTAATTTGATCTTTTGTTCAATTTATTTAAATCCACTTAATATGAATTTATCATGTAACTAAAGGGAAGTTTTAGTTGCTAAAAATAAAAATAAGTTTCTGAACATCATTGAAGATATTGATTTATTAAGAAAAATAATAAAATAACCCTTGTGGTTTTTAATGTAACTCTATAACAGCAGCCATATCACCCTGAAACTCACAATTGGCAACCCACTGAAGCTAAGCAGGTGTGAGCCTAGTCATATCTGGATGGGAGACCTCCAGGTTGCTGATGGAGGTGGTGTTAATGGGGCCAGTAGGGGGTGCTCATAATGCCCTCGTATAGTGATGGGGACTATACTGTAAAAAGGCGCTGTCCTTCAAATGGGATGTAAAACTGAGGTTCTGACTTTCTGTGGTCATCAAAAATCACAGGGCATTTCTTGAAAAGAGTTTGGGTGTATCCCCAGCATCCTGGACAAATTTTCCATTGGCCTTTAACAGTCATGGCCTCCTAATAATCCCCATCTATAAATTGGCTTCATCACTCTCTTCTCCCCACAGATAGCTGGTAAGTGTTCTGTGTGCACTATGGCTGCTGTTGCATCATCCAGGTGAATGCTGCACGGTGGTGGTGGTGGAGGGGAGTCCCCGTTACCTGTAGAATGCTTCGAGTGGAGTGTCCAGAAAAGTGCTGTATAAGTGTAAGGAATTATTATTATAATCCTTGTTAAAGGATTCTTTGTTTCAGTGTCAGGTAGGAGGTTCAAAGTGGAGGAGGAAAAGTGAAAAAAAGAGGGATGTGATATCATTAGAAAGTGAGACAGGTCGTGTTGTAGTTGTAATGGAAGCTGGTTCAGGCTCCCGTGAAGCGCAGTTCAACACGCTATGCAGACGGTATAATCCGGAAGTAAGTGGAGAAGGACATCAGGGGAAGGAATAGCAGGATAGGACGGGTTGACAGACAGGGAGGTGTGATGATGGTGATCTGGTGCTCGGGGCCGGGATGGGGCAAACAGATCCAGAAAGTCCTAGGGGGAATCTGGGGCACAGTCCGAAGTCCAAAACCAGAGGATCCATCCAAGACAAACGCAGTTAAAATCCGTAACGGGATCCAGAACAGGGCCAGGGAATAATACGAAGGTAACGAGGCCAGACTCCGAGCCCCAGACTCAGATGGTCAATATGCTGTGATGAAGCCTATGCCGTCGGGTCACTCCTGGACCCGCTGGTAGGCCGGCTTCCGGGCGTCCATCTCCCAGTGCTGAGCCAGGAATAGCGAGAGCACCAGGCTTAGATAGTGAGACAAAACAGGAGGCAGGTTCATAAAATCAAATAAAATTTGAAATGGTCGGAGTGCCCTTAAGAGGAGGGATGCCGATCGTGACAGTAGTATGAGTTGAGTTGTGCTTTACTTAGCCAACATGTTCTGAAGCATGAATATGCATTTGCAGATTTACATAGTCTAAACTTGAAGAGCTGTTTTTCACTGAAGCAACCTAAACATGCTTTAACTTAAACATTATTTAACCAAGATTGATAGCTCTTTTGATAGCTCCAGCAGCACCCTGGTACCACAAGGAAAAAAAACTCCCATGTAGAACTTTTACATGCCGTTTAATTTTTTGCAGCTAGTGACAAGGACGATTGTTTTCTGAATTTCATCATTTATAGCGTAGTGTTTCACAAAGATGTGCTGATCTACCTTTGAATCATCCTGTTCTGCAGGTCCCGCTAAGGCCTTATTATTCCTAACTATGACATGGCATAACTAAGACAAAACACAAAAATTTACAATATCTTTGGATTTTGTGAGTGGCATTTATTGATTTTATATTTATAAAATAATTTAAATTTTTTAAAGAGAGCAGGAAGTGTATGCCTCTTAAAGCACAAAATATAGTTTTTAATTAGTCGTGTGAATCAAATACATTTACTGTACGCACAAACTACATTTTTGACTTCCCACACATGTAACATTACTGTTTACGACATCATACAGTTTCAAATAGATCGAGTTAATGTTAAAATGAGTAAGGAAAGTTACAGAGAATTCCATAAAGTAATATCCACACATATCTTTTCAGCAAATATTACAGCCATTCTTGCAGACTGCCCCAATCTAGATTATTTACACTTAATATTAATATTTTCCTATGGCTGTAGCTACCAGTTCACTTTGCCTGCTAGGGCGGACTTTAAACCTGTTTAAACATTTTAGCCCATGGTATTTTAAATTGTAAGGACTGCTTCAGTTAATTGTGACAACATTGCTGTTAATATAAAGCTGACGTTCATAAGCAGTCCAAAATGGAATACATTTGTAATAAAATATTAGATTTTGCTTGTTTTATATTTCAGATGTAAAGAGCAAATTTTGAAAAAATATTTAGATTTTGTTAGAGGTATCAGTGTGAGCTATGGAAGAATATTTCTCTTCAATGTCTGAATTAAGTGGCATGTTTAATAGATAATTTTATGATACCAGATGTAGATATCAGATATATTCTAACTGACAAACCTCTCATTGGTCACTGTATTAAATGATGCTAATATGTTGAATAATTTCTTGTGTCTAACCAAAATCATTGGTTCTGAATGTATTGAAATCAATTACTTATCAACACATTCAGATTAGTTTGGAAGGAATGACCAACTGAAAGTAAGTATATATATTTTTAAGAAACCATATTTCTCTATATACTTCACAGCAGTGTTAGCATCTTCAGGTCTGATCTCATCCATTCTTTGAAATTAAAGGAGAACTGCAGTCCTAATTTTGCAGACCAGTAATTAAATCTCAGTAACAAAATAAATTAATTGATGTTATAGAAAAAAATGTCAAATGTTCAATTAAGTGCAAAATTGTGAACTTTGTGAAAGTACTGTAAGTCGCCATGTTGTCGCAAGCTCACATTTGGGTTCCCATGAAGTGTGACGTGATGCATCCCTTCCTGTTCAAAAGTCACTGTAATAACTAATGTGATGTAGGAGCCAATAAGTACAGGTTGCGCAACAGACATTTCATTACAGAAATGTTCCAATGTGATCTGCATGCACAGTTAACAAGCAAGTAGTATTTATCGGCAAAACCATATCCAAATCGAGAACAATATTTCTATTCGATTAAAAGAGATGTATTCACAATCCTGCTTCTTTTCAATAATATAAGAAGCAATGAGATAATATGGCTGCATCACATCTCCAGATTTTTTGTCGCCTTGTTCTGAATTCCATAATATGGCGCTTTGCATACCTGGAAATTGTATGTATTTTGTAAATTGGAGATTTTACAAGTTACTGTGTACTGTACATTTAACTTTTATTGTGGTTTGAAATGTACTCATCAATGCTCATTCTTTCTTACCCCAAAATCTAAATACAACATTGCAGTCCCCCTTTAAGCAAGGCTAGGCATGGTCATTATTGGGATGAGAGACCTTTAAGGTCACAAAAAGCTGTCAGTGGTGTGACACCCAAAGAAGGCTCCACAGCCGAAACATTGTGTTTACTTTCTTCTCTTTTCAGCATGGAATAAACCTATTACTTGTTCCTTTGCAGCCTACACATGCTGATGCTGCTACCCAAATGAACTACATTAATCAAATTATACAATTAATTTTAATTTACGGGCCATTTTAAAAACACTGATCTATAAAAAGAAAAAGACTTAAATTTGTTTAAGTTTAGATTTTAGCAATACATTATAAATTATCAATTATAAATCCACTAAGGCTGCACTGATTTTTACCCAACAAGAAGTGTGATTTGCTATGGCAGATTAAGATGGAAATGTTGCCAGTGTACAAAATATCTCACTCTTAGTTCCATTTTTGTTTTTTGGTTTGAATACATTTATACCTGGAATTCCATCTGAGTGTGATGTGTGTCTACTATTGTTTGACCTAATGTCTGAGTGACCTAATGATATTGGCCCAAGATAAAGATCTCTTTCATACAGTACATAAATTCCCCTTATGTGACTTTAACATCACAACTCATTTACCCTTTCCTTTGTGCTACTAGTGTCCAGATTGGCAGATGTTGATGCAGCAATGCACCGTCTTAATGTCGCCCAATACACTCTGGATGTGAAGACATCTCAGTTGATAGACAGGGTGTCTCGGTTGGCCTCGAAGGTGAGTGAGACTGAGGAGGCCATGGACATCATCTCACGGATCAACCAAGAAAACCGCAAGGAGATTGGACGACTGGAAGGTATAGAGAACTCCTGTGTTATATAAAAACCCATACAAATAAACTGTGATCAAACTGCAGAGAGTAACAATACATTTCATGTACCAGGATATCTAATTTCACAACAGTATCAGATGTGCAGAGTGGCTGGTTTTATTGTCTGGATGATAAGGAATTCAGATGATTTTTCAGAAGGATTCACTGAATAAGAGAGCAAGGGGTAAATATATATGAGTAATAGTGATTAGAATTATGCAAAGAATCACTGTTTTATTTTCTCTTTTATTAATATTTGAAATTAAAGTTTTTACATGGGTTTTATTTAAAAAAATGATTTTATATGAAATTAAAAATAACAGGTACTCTAAAATGACAAGATGAATATGTTTAGAAACTGCTGTAAAGACTTCAGACAATAGAACAACATTTTAAATATTTAAAGAGAGAGGTTACAAATACTTACACATCATTGCATTTACCCTAGAATTCCATTATGTATGTTCTATCTTTTATTTCCATTCTTTACAGTCTGATAATGATGAGACAGGAAACTGAAGACTTCAGCACTACCTGTCAGAAATTTCAGGTTACACAATCACAATCTATGCTAGTGAAGTCAGACACATGGCATCTACAGTATATTTTGTAAAACCCTGCTAATTCCTCACTTATTCAGTCCAAGAAATCATCTTTCTTGTAACACACCAAAAATTCTGGTGCATCTTTTTGTCAAAGACCAGGAGATCAAGCCCATTTACTGTTTAAAACCAGAGCTGAGTAAACTGAATTTCATCAAAAGTGCAAATTACCTATACTGTACAGTAGGTCAGTATGAGCTGTAATATCATCCCCTCACTTCATGTTAGCATCATCATCACCTCACATTCCACTGTCTCTACAGGTTGCATGAAAGGCCGTCAGTTAGGGCATAAATGTTTCCTGGTTTTCCGCTCATACGAGACCTTCAGTGAAGCTGGGAAACGGTGCAAGGAGAGAGGTGGCAGGATGGCCATGCCCAGAGACAGGAAAGAACAGGAAGCACTGGGAGAGTACACTCGTGGGTTCTTTCATCCCGGGAACTGGCCTGTGTGGCTGGGGATCTCTGACCAGCGATCAGAGGGCCTATATCTCTTTGAGGATGGCTTGCGTGTCACCTTCTTCTTCTGGCGCAAGCACTTCCTCTCCAGCCAGCCAGATGGAGGCAAGCGGGAGAATTGTGTTGCTATGTCCTCTGATGATGGTGACTGGTGGGACAATGACTGTGAAAGACGCATGTACTTTGTCTGTGAGTTTGACATCTGATGTTCCTATAGATCTCTTTCTAGCACTTACATTTCCACATAGAAGCACTCAGAAACCACAACTGTTATGACTATGCACTATTAAATATAGTTTGGAAAAAAGAACACAATGCTTTCTTTGATTAAATTGGCCCAAAATGGTAGTATTTTTTAAATGATAATGATCTAAGGCGACCAAAAGTTTCTAAAAAAATTCTAATATAGCTGTTCAAAAACAGAACAGGTATAAAGCCTAGTTTTATTGTTCAATAACCATTATAGAGGGAAATACATCACATGTAAACTGCTACAATTTGAAAATATTCTGAGTATAATTATCAATATTTTTATTATAAAATAACCACATCTATCACCTTTTAACTTTCTGTGACATAACATTTCCATTATGGGATGCTCAGACAATGCTGTAGATCTGTAAAGCATGTCTTTAGTAATTAAACTCAGTTTCAACATCAGTCAGAGTAATTTTCAGATTGTCAGATGTAATGGGTATTTTATGAGGATGCATTGTTTATTATTATTAATGTATATTATAAAATATTTTGTATGTCAAAATCATTGTGCAACTTGTAGCAATCCACAAATACTATTTTAGTCATAAATGTGATCTTTATCAATGTGGACATACAGTATCAATGACAATTAAAGAAACTGTTCAAAGTTTTCATGTCTATTTTCATTGTGTATTTATAGATTACTGCTGTTATGGTTTGGACAGCCTCAAATTGTCAATAAATGATTATATGATTCTCAAGGATAACATACAATAAAATGGTTATTCACTGTTTTAAAACACATATTGCAGCTTTCAATATTTACAATATTTTATTTTCCTTTTGCAATTATTTCAACAAGGAAACAAAAAAGAGCACCCAGAGAAAACAGGAGTAGAGCATAAAAATATGAAGGACAGGAGTTGATCATCACAGTGTTTCCAGGCATTTTCTCACACAAATCCAGTAACCCATTACTACACCCTTGCAAATACCAAACGCACATTGAAGCCTACTACAGCCTTGACTTTACTCCGTAGTCTGGCTAGTCTGTAGCGTCAGTTTCAAATCCACATTGAAATGTGTGAACCTAATTTGTGAATGTAATACTTTTGTAGTTTAAGTACTGTAGGTAGAAGTAGTAGTTACTTCTGCCTATTACAGACCCACAGATGGACACAGCTCATGTACAGCTCATTTTACCCCACACATATTAAAATTCTCTGCCTTTTTCACAGTTCCACAGGCTCCAACAACTTTGCAGTGACGACATAAATTTCTAAAAACAAGCACTCAAACGAGCACTCTTTTTTCATCAACATAGGATACCCCACCCATGTTATTGACAGGGCCCTCTCCTGAGGCAAAAACAGCCCACGGATCATCAACTCAATTAGGAACTTCCAGTAATGCGTTAATGAAATAAATATAAGAAAATAAAAATGTTGGAATTGTCCCCATTTGTGTTTAATGAACTTTGAGAAGGATATTGTCTTGGAAGACCATTTCATTAGTTTGGTTAAATCCTTTCCAGTTTGATAAGATGAAATATGTATGAAGTATTCGGAGTGACTCCTAGCAGAGGAAGTGACATCCTGAGATGATAAGGTGCTCAACCCACCCCCCCCCCCCCCCATCCCTCTATTACGAAGGTTAAGCTACGGAGCTTTTTGCAAGGGTGAACATGAGTAGGCAGGAGTGGATGCGAGAAAAGTACGCAAAAGGAAGACCGGGGTGAGAAACTTAAAGTATATACAGTACCTACAGTATGCAAGCAAAAGGGTGCAAGATTAAGATCTAAATTTCCTACTAAACGTCTAGTATAAACTCTAGATGTAAGTGCAGACTTGAGTGCAGTTCAGCTGTATCAAAAATGCATTTAAACAAAAAGTTAAGAATTGAATCAGATCTGGATCAGAGACAAAGCATAGCTGTGTCTAATAGCATTGATCTATTCTGAATGGTCCTGCTTTATCTGGAATAGGCCTGCTCTGAAATAAATCATTTTTCTTGTAGTTGATATACTGTACAAATTATTTTCCTTTTTTCATTTCTATCACATTAAGTCATTTATTACTATGTAAAATGGATTTATATTGAGCTAATGTTTCTCCTGGTTCATTACTTGTACTGTAATACTAAGATATATACATATAAGGAATGACTTGAAGGAGTTAAAAGAACTGGTTTTGCTTTTATCAAATGGAAAACAAGAGATGTACAGGACCAAGTACATACAGTAGTTGCCAAAGGTTCAATTCAAGTCAGGCTTTTGCTGCTACTACTTATGTCACACCTCATTCTAAGACATGCCCTGAGAAAAATAAAGGTTATATATTTATATTGAACCACATGTAGTTTGTATCAAAAATTATGTTTTTATGTCTATTTTTAGGTGCATTTTGAGGGATCCTATAAATCCTAGTACTCTAACACCCAGTAATAGGTAGGACTTTGAGAATGGAAAACCTACAGTATTTTGTTGCTAAGGTATCAATTTGAGGAAAATATACAGCATAGTGCTTTCATTTGCTATTGGTAAATATTGGTTGAAAAGAAAGCAGGTATAGTTCAGATATTTTTACAATATTAAACCATTGATACACATTCTCTGCCACTTGAAAAACTATACTCTAGCTCCTTAGCTGCTTGATTTCTAGTTTTGTCAAAATAGGAGGTTTTGCCAACACATGGAATATTCATTAATAGTTGTCATTTTCATAATAATCTCTTAACTATCCCCATTAAATTAATAAAATTAATTTTTTTCAAGCTCTCTGCAGCCAGAGAGCGCTCCTACTCTGTCCTGTCCCTAGTTTCCTGTGCTTTGCTGTCCTTCTGGTGTCTCTCTCTCTGGGGCTATATATTTCTGGGTCTCTCATTCACCTTTGCTCAGCATTGACATTCGGATGTCCTGAGACCCGCTTAGCACCAGGTCGCCCCACGTCTGGTGCCTGAGGGCATTGGTTTCTAAAGACTCCTGAACTGATGAGCCCGGGCTAATCCCCAGTTCCGCCGCTGTGCATATGGGTCCGCTCTCCTGTCTCTCCAGGGTTCATCCCTTCCGAAATCCATGATAATTTTCTTCATTAGGTTAGGGTTTTAAGCGGTCCACAAGTCAAAAACCATTCACTAAAGTATTAATTCTATTTGAAAGGGTCACTGGGATTTCAAATTAATCATCAAGATTCAAGTCTTTTTGGAGTTGTCACCAAACACATCCGCTTACTCCTGGTAAAGGTTTGTTATGCATCACTATGGTGACACTTTGAAAAGAGTGAAAGAGTTCTGTAGAAAGTAAAACAACTGTAAGAAGATCTCCAAGAAAATATTGTACAATAACGTCTTTGGCAGAAAACCTTGATTCATAAACCGGCTTCACTTCCAGGCAGTGTTTGCGTTTTATCATTAGATGATTTTCAAAACATTCAAAATCTTTTCTGTCTATTCAAAAATCAAAATATTTGAATAGTTTTTGAGAGATATTGGGAGAGGTGTATTGTTTAAATATCCAAATGATAGTGATTTTGTTTTTGGAAGTTCTTTTTGTTCTTTTTTTCTTAACCCATCTTTCTCAACAGCACTATACCCCCTGTAAAAATGCAAAAGTTCAGACTTTATACACACTTATATTAGTAATACCTGAGGTTTTGAGATGACTGGCAACTTTTTTTTTCTCTGATTATTCTTGTATGTTAATAAAAATGCAATATAAAACAAGTAAAACATTTCAAAACACCAACAATAAAAACAAACAGAAAAGGGAGCTCACAAATTAAAAAGGAACAGAAAACTAATTGAATATGTTGTAAAGAACATTACCCATATCATTTTGTGAGAATAATAAATAATGTGACGTATGGGTACCTCAGGAACTACCAAGCAAAATAAGATACATTTTTCAGAGATTGTTTCAGTTTAATGTTGATCTGTTGTTCATCATTTGCATGATGGCTTTCATCACCACAAGTGTTGGTAAACCAAACATCTCTCTTACAGGGTGTTGTAGGATAAAAATATCTGTTACCTTTACCTTTCCTTAAAAACAAAAGACTGGTTCATGTTCAACTATTGCTTATGAAGAAGACTTGAGTCTTCCCCCCTTTATTAGATCTCAAAGGGGATGTGAAAGAAACATTGATAATAATTTATACCTGCAAGAAGCTTTTTTACCTTGTCTGTCCACCCCCTTTTCTTCAAGTCAGTAGTTTTGAACATCCACCTTTGCTTGTTGGTCAGAGAACATTTTGTGCTTAAAATTTGGTTGTTGTTCTGTCATTTTCATCAAATCCCAGTGTTTCCTACTGTAATAATCAAGTGTTTCTTTGCAGGCTTTGATTATATATTTTTTCAGATATTTTAAAGTGGTATGAACACTTCCTAATTGTTAATAGTTAATAATATTAATAATAATAATAATAATAATAATAATTGCTTACACTTATATAGCGCTTTTCTGGACACTCCACTCAAAGCGCTTTACAGGTAATGGGGACTCCCCTCCACCACCACAATGTGCAGCATCCACTTGGATGATGCGACGGCAGCCATAGTGCGCCAGAACGCTCACCACACATCAGCGATCAGTGGGGAGGAGAGCAGAGTAATTAAGCCAATTTATAGGGGGATTGTTAGGAGGCCATGATTGATAAAGGCCGATGGGAAATTTGGCCAGGACGCCGAGGTACACCCCTACTCTTTTCGAGAAACACCCTGGGATTTTTAATGACCACAGAGAGTCAGGACCTAGGTTTTACATCTCATCCGAAGGACGGCGCCTGTTTACAGTATAGTGTCCCCGTCACTACACGGGGGCATTAGGACCCACATGAGCCACAGGGTTAGCGCCCCCTGCTGGCCCCACTAACACCTCTTCCAGCAGCAACCTTAGTTTTTCCCAGGAGGTCTCCCATCCAGGTACTGACCAGGCTAAGTTAAGGCTTGTGAGCTTTTTCCTGTTTTTCCTGAAAAAAATATATTTTGGTTGGATGCTTTAATCTTAGATTTACATGTACATTGTATCTTCTGTAGGAGGCATGAGCTTGGCATGAGCTCCTGTTATGAACTTGAACTTTATTGCCATATGTAACATGTACTGGTACAATGGAATTCTTACTTACAGAAAGTCTCTCGATTGTAAAACAAATGTAAAAACACAAAGTGCAAACAATGCATCAAGACAATATACAAACAGTGGACAATGTACAAGTAAACATACAGGTATAGACAGTTTGAATGTAAACAATACAGACGTGTAAACAATGACTGGAGATGTGCAATAAGTAAGAAATCAATGATGTTACAACCCACCCACAACAAAAGATTAAAATGTACAGTTTGATAATTACACCTGCACATTATCTTTTTATTAATGTTTATTACCACCCATGTGTAACTGTCTCTGAAATATACAGAAGATAGACTGAAATGCACAGAGCGATGAGGTGATAAAATATGCCTGTGTATGACATGTAAATGCTTTGATCAGGAATAGATGGTGATGACCTACATAATTACATTTTAAAAATAATATTTTAATGTGCATTTTAAAGTGTATTAAAACTACTTTACCAAATAAAACGTTTTTATCCAAAAGGTTGTGGGAGTATGGAACATTCTACACAAACATATTGCTGAAGTTCATGCCCTGGTTTCTTTAAAAAATGACTGG